AATACTGTGTAGACCATCCCTGATAGACATTTATCTAACCTACTCTTAAATATCTCCAGAGATGGAGATTCCACAACCTCCCTAGACAATTTATTCCAGTGTTTAACCACCCTGACAGTTAGGAACTTTTTCCTAATGTCCAACCTAAACCTCCCTTGCTGCAATTTAAGCCCATTGCTTCTTGTTCTATCCTTAGGGGCTAAGATGAATAAGTTTTCTGTCTCCTCCTTATGACACCCTTTTAGATACCTGTAAACTGCTATCATGTCCCCTCTCAGTCTTCTCTTTTCCAAACTAAACAAATCCAATTCTTTCAGCCTTCCTTCATAGGTCATGTTCTCAAGACCTTTAATCATTCTTGTTGCTCTTCTCTGGACCCTCTCCAATTTCTCCACATCTTTCTTGAAGTGCGGTGCCCAGAACTGGACACAATACTCCAGTTGAGGCCTAACCAGCGCAGAGTAGAGCGGAAGAATGACTTCTCGTGTCTTGCTCACGACACACCAGTCCGGAAGTTAGCCCAGCATTCTGGTACCACTACAAGTTCCCAAGGCAGCTGCCCCGTGCCTGGAAGGACATGACAAAGGAGACGCCCCTGTGCAATTAATCCGAGAGCTGCCGACAAGGGCATAATCAGCATCAAGGGAGACAATGGTCTTTATGGGAGAGACGCCTGCCTGCTAGGACACTGAGAGGCACCCATCAAATCATCCCCTACAGGCCTCCAGCAGCTCCCCCAGCCATCGGCTTTAAATCCCTGCTGAGCTGTATTAGAACCCCTGGTGACCTAGAGGTGAAAGGTCGCTTAGGGCATGTCTGCACTGTAATTGAATACCCACAGCTGGGCAGGCCCCTGTCAGTTGACTCAGGGTGTGGGACATTCCGGTTCGGGCTGGAGCCCGGGCCCTGGGACCATGCGATGGGGGAAGAGTCCCAGGGCACAAGCTGACCCGGGCCCAGGCACGGGGGTTGAATCGCAGTGTAGCCACCCCCTCCCGCCCCGGGTCTCTTAGCGATCCTCCGAGCCAGCCAGTTCCACTGCCCCGCTGGCGGGAAATGCGTGGACCAGACCATCCTTGGGTGGGGACTTCTACTGCCATGTGCGAACGTTCGCAGACGAGTTACCCGCCTTTCAGAAGCGAGGTCCGTAGCACACGCTGTCATGGGAGGCGGAGCGGGGGGGAGGGGAAGCACCCGGCCGCAGGGAGGTTTATCTGCCCCAGGTGGATGCTACTCTTAAGGGCCCCTCTGGATCAATAAACCTGCCTTCCCAAATGGGATATTACACAAAACCTCCAATGTGTCTCTACTGGTGCGAGCCGGGGGCTGGGAGTCGGGACTCCGGGGCAACCCCAGCTCATGTGGGCTGCTGGTTAGGGCAGGGGGCTGGGAGTCAGGACTCCTGAATTTCATTCCTGGCTCCTTGCAAACCACTATGGGAACAACAACCTTTTGCAGACCTATTAGAAATACTCTGCAGATCCCCAGGGGTCCACAGACCACAGGTTGAAAACCACGGGTTTAATGGATATAATTAGGCTTGGAAGGATTCGATTCTTATCGGTAAATGTCAATTTCACTGCAGACACGCCCAATATTTCCATTGCTAATAATCAAAGTGTACAGCGAGGCAAAGTAGGGAAAACGCGGCTTGAGAACGGATTCGCGTTTCATTGACCGATATTTAATTCGGACGTTTCGACGTGGGACGCCGGCCGGGTGTGTAGGGATGGTTAGAGAGCTTTCACTTTTTGAATCTCAACATTAAATCATCATCGTCCGACCCCACCCCTTAATTTCCCGTAACCGAACATTTAAATGAATAAAAATTAAAAATGCATAAAAAAAATCGATATCCATCAAATGATAACAAAAAAAAAGATTGAATTGTGCAAAGCCCAGGGGCAGGGATTAGGAGATGTAATGCTGTCATGTTTATGAAGGATGTCAAACTCCTCCAAGAGAAGTTCCTCTTAGCCGGCCAAAGTGGCCAATTCTTTTATCTGCTGAAAGGGCCTTCTGGTTAATATCTGGGAAGCCCTCCAAGGCCTTGAGGGGCAAGACTGACCAGGCTCACAGATCTGGCTGCACCACAAGGAACACAAATAAGATGGGCGTAGAATAAAACACCCCCAAACTCCCTAGACATGCGAGGCTTAATTCTTTGTTGCCCATTGCCCCAGCGAGGGTGGTACCAAGGGGCTCTGAGGTAGAAGGGGGGGCCCTGAACCCCATTACACCCAGGTACAGAGGAAGACTCTGCCAGTTTAGGGGTGAGCCAGGGGGTGAGGGTGGGATTCTGGGGCCGTTCCAGGTGGGTGGAAGCGTGGCCAGGGTTGACCTGTGCTCCCGTGATTCGACAGCCCTGAAAAGCCCCTAGGAGCTCCCTGGAGCAGGGATGGAAGTTAGGCCCAGGGCTATGCAGGCCTGAGTGTAGGGCAGGGCCAAATTCCTTCCCCTCTGTCCCTGCCCCACTGCAGGCTCCTTGGCGTTACCAGAAGGGAAGCGTCTAATGCCACGTGGGGTCTGCGTTGCTCCCATCACCGTTACCAGGAGGCATGCTAATGGGAGGAGTGACCTTTCGATGCCTATGGATTTTCAGTCCCCAGGAAGAGCAGTCAGGAGGCAGAAAGAGACAGAAAATTACAGCCCAGTGGCTCATCCGCCTGCTTTGGCAGCGATTCATATCGATCTCGGACAGCTCCCTTAGTGTCAAAGTGGTTCGCAAATGGAGCCGCTTCACCCGCCACTGAAATGCAGCCACCTCTGGGGTGGGGGCGCGGCCGCTGTTTTAAACAGCAGCACGGCTAGCCCAGCCCAGCCCAGCCGTTTAAGATGGGAAGTGAAGAATACTAGATCCAGCGGAAAGCTGCTGCGCGCATGTAAGGGAGCGGACTGCTGTTTGCTCAAGGATTGAACCAGGACCCTGGGGCTAGCCTCCTTGACTGCCATGGAAATCCCCAGGGGGTCTCGAATGCAACAGAGAGGCTCTGGCCCCTGGTTTTGTGTCAGTACCTCCAGCAGCAGTGACCAGAGCCCCCAGCGGGGGCGTTGGGGTCAGTACACACTTGGGGGTGGGGGAGAGCGCCCCCTGCTGAATCGCCACTACCTGCAGCACCTGGGATCTCTCTCCTCCAGCTAACTGCTTTGGGGAAGGAACAAGTTCCCAGCCTGGGCAGGTGGGAGTCCAAAGCCAATGTCAAATAATGGATCTGGGGAGGGGTCTGATGGCGCCGAGAGGCAATTGTCCTTCCCTTCCAGAGGCTTTTCCATTATTGTCCTGCAAACTAATCCCCCAACACACACTCACAGCTAGGAGTGCCTCCTTCCAGCCATACCAACACGACGGTGTTAGACACACACACACCCCCCATCGGTTCTGAGACAAAGGCCAGAGCATTAGCCAGGGTCCCCTCCAGGGCAATGGGTCAATTTCAGTTCAAGCGGAGAGGGGAAGGGTGCACATGTGGGGGAGAGAGGGGAAGGGAGAGGTCTGTCCGTTTTAGCCCTGGATCCAATGCCGCAGAAGGGCAGAAAAATCTAAACCAACATGGGCCTAGTGCTCCGGTCTAATGAGGAAAGAAAAGGCTCGTGGAAAGGAGGGAAAGAAGAAGAGAGATGGGAAAGGAAGTGTGTGTGTGTGTGTTGGGGGGAGGGGGAAGACAGAGAGAGATGGAAGTGGGATTCTGGAGGAAGAAAGAGGGGAGAGGAGAAAAGAGGGAAGAAATCAGGGTCTAAGGAGGAGAGCAGAAAGACTCTAAAAGAGGAGATGGAGAGCGAGCGAGAAGGGGTGCGCGGGGCTGCCAGGGAATGAAGGGCAGAATGGAGGCAGGGTGGATGTAGCGAGGCCCAGGGATAAAACAAACCAAGGTGAGAAGGTGGGAAACAGCCAAGGACCCTGCCCAGGGCAGGCGCAGCAGAGACCTGCCCAAGGCCTAACTCTCCCAACCCAGCCCAGGAGGCAGCCAGTCCCACTGAACCCAAACAAGCCTGGGAACCCAGCCAGGCCTGGGGGGCTGCAGACCCCCTAGCACGGCCCCATCAAGGGAAGGGCACTGCTTCAGCCAGCTCGCTATGGGGCAGGCTCCCCCTGCCCTGGAGAAATACAGCCCCACCAGACCCCAGAGGGGAGAGGCAGGGGGCGGCTAAGCGCTGGCTCAGAAGAGAGGAGCTGGGTGGGTTTTTTTTATGATGGTTATTAATTTATTGATCGAAAACAGGAGGGGGAGGGCGGCTTATTAATGTTTAAAGCGTTGCTAGCCTCATGCTGGGAGGGGGATTTTAATAACCCAGGGTGGGTTCAAACCTGGGGGCTGGACTCTACCCAGCACAGCTAACTGCATGTGCATTTCTCTCTCTAACCAACCCCCCACCCCACTCCACTCCGTCTTTCCGAGACGTTGATAAACACCCCAAGTTGAAGACACTTTCCACCATCATAACCCCCCCTTCTCCCCCCTCCCCGCCCCCCATCGCTCCGTTTCCATCCCGAGCGGACCGACAGGAAAACACCAAATATGCCGCTCTCCTCCCCTGGTTGCATCAAAACAGGCGAGGGAGTGGGGGGGGGGCTATTTGGATCGGGACTGCAGCCTTAAAGCCGATGCGATCCACGCCGCCTCGAGGCAGGCAGGGCGGGGAAAAAAAAAACAAAGCAAAC